TGTCTTTTGGTCGCAAAATGCAGAAATTATATAAAGAAGGTAAAAATAGCTACTTTGGGTAGCTTTAAATACCTACGTAGCTATTAATACCTACGTAGGTAGAAATAGTCTTTGGACTGGACCTGTTCAAGTATGGCCGCCTCCATAGGACAACAAATATCTTTTGGAATCACTCACCCTCAAACTGAGGAAAGTGTATAGGAGAATAGACTAAAAAATACGAATGTGGTTCACGTCATAGCTTCTTCACAATCATGCAGCCTGTGTTGTATCATTTACATACGATGGACTGAAAAATGTGACTTTATAACTGCATCAAAATATAAAGCTTTTCGACCCAATAATGGTACGGTACTGAACGGACAAGAAATATAATTTTTTAGTTGTCAATAAATTTATGATACGTTTTGACGAAGATTTTGAAATTTTTCCTAAACTGTAAGTCTGTTTCATTTTCTTACAACAGAGAAAATTCGGACGAACGGTGTCGTGAAAAATGAGATAATTAATAGCACAATATTAATATAGCTGGCCAATTTAAATGATGAAGAAACATAAGTAATTCAATATGAGGAAAAAAATGCTGTCAATATTGATGCAGTTTTCTTTAAATTACGATCATAATTTAATTATAATCTCCCTTCTAGACAGTTCATAACAGAGTTTTTTTTTTATCCTGAAAAATCTAAGTTATCAATTACATAGAGTAGAAAATAGTGATTTTAACCTAATATGTTCCCCTACTCGGCTCTAGCTGATCCCATACTTTCAAAATCAAAACAAAAGCATGAAATTGTTATTAATTAAATCAGGGGCTTATCAACAATTGCATCTGCATGCAAAAGTTATATTATGGGAGTAATGAGTGTTTTCTGGCGATCGTTTGTGACAATTATTTTTACATTTCTAGTCTTCATGAAAATTCACGAACATTCATTACCTCGAACTATTAAGTTTTTTTCTTTAAACTGAAAATTACCAATATTCATATTTGTTCATCATTTGTTCATGAAATATGAATTATGAATGTTTTCATGAATTTTATTCATGAACTACTTTTATGAACCTGTTAAGAATCCTTTAAGAACCATTCATGAACAATTATGAACAACTCATAAAGGTTCTTAAAATCATGAATATCATTTCGCAGGGGCATTCATGACAATTCAAACACCACAGAATAAAAGTTGATGATACTTCCACACATTCTTTATTACATAATGTCATTTTACTCCTTATTATTTACCATTTGATCTGACACTTGTTTCGGGTCTGCCAGAGAAAAACATCCACAATACAATTAATATTTATATCAATTACATTTGTCAACATTTTATTTTTTATGTGTGAGAAAGTTGTGCTTTTTTAAAATTTCACTCTGCATCTATTATGCAAAAGCAAAAGCTTTTCCATTTTGTAGACATTTTAAGATCATTAATTGTATTATGTTGAATCTGTTTACACATACCCGAATTTATCTCTCTCAAATCTCCTGTAGGGTCCCAGGTATACATTGTATCATCCTTTTGTATGTCTGTTTTTCTGTCTGCATATCTGTGTTCACCTTTTAAAAACATTTTTGTCACAATCTCAAGAGCAGGGACAAAGGTGGTTTGGTTTAAATTAAGAATTTGAATAAAAATCGTCCGCCACGTGGCACAATGTTCGGAACGTTTTATCTAGGGTTTCAGAGTAAGTTTTTCAACTGTGCATGTCTGGTTCAAATTAAACGTCAGGGCGTGGCGACCGGTCTTTTTGGATGAGACCATGCGAACTGAGATTAGACAGAAAAGGTTGGCACAAAAAACATCTTTAGTGCACAATAGTCCTAAGAACCAACTGTAGATCTAAATTCAAAATATTCAGCAAGTGTACTAAAAACAGTGGCTTCCCCATATGAGTGAAAAATTCTCCAGAGGGACGTTGAACAACAAACAAACAAACAAACAAACATTCTTTAAGACGGTCGCACCAGCTGAAAATCCTAAACCCGAATTTATTGTATCTCTGTACTAATTTCAACCAAAGCATGTTTTGAGGTCAACACGCCACTTCGAGGGAAGGGTATTAAAAATACTGAAAACAGAATAGGTTCCTAAAGCTTTTTCTCAAGAACATAAAGTTTCTATCAAGCATTGACATTAAAACTAGAATCACAAATTGTGTATTGGATTATAGTCGTTTGACGAGAAACTGTGAGCACTGAGCTCACTCTAATGATACCTCTGATTCCAATATGATTACAATGGCAAAGTCCATGTATAAGTATTAGATCAATTTGTAAAACATTGGCATTATGTAAAACAGAAGCTTCGAAAGTATCATTAAATTTTATTCTGTGGAATATATGAGGAGTTGTGGATAATAAAAGTATACCCTTCAGTTTTATAGAAAGAATTCGCATGACTGTTAATGTTTTCTATGGGAAACCCAATTATGTGTCAGATCAAGTTGTAAAATAGAAAGTAAACAATTCCACTATAATTATATGTAAGGAAGTAACAACGATTCGGTGGAAGTATGATTAAAATTTATTCTAAAATATACATATATATATAAAACTTGGATACTTCAAAAAACTTTATGGAAAACTTTGACACTTTAAAAAAATTTGGTGAAAACTTTGACACTTTGAAAAACTTTGGCAAAATTATAAAAAAAAATTATTTTATTCAGTGGTATAAGTGGAGTTGCAATAAAGAATGGGTACCAAAAACCGTAACAGATGGACAAACACATAGGTATACTGGTTGTTCATCTTTGCTAGCCAAGGGTTTCCGATCCGATACCTACTCTACAACCCTTGGCAGATTTGGCCGAAAATTTTACAACTCGCGCAAACGAATTTTATTGGCTGCAAAGTCCGAGTTTACGCAAGATTTTTACTAATCGACGATTTTCGGCTGAATTAAAGTCTGTTCGTGTTTTATGCAAAATAAAAGTAACATTTACAAGGAATGAAAGTTAGGACGTGATCTATGCTTAAAAAAAAACCAAGGGATTAATTAATTTGAATTTTTTTTCTTTGAATTATATATGTTTTCAAGAATTATCGAAAGGACCACATAAGTCCGTCTTCCGCATTTTAGGTGCATCAATTTAAGCCAATCAAATGTCACGGCTCATCGATTGAGACGACAACAAGTAGAAAGTGGTGTCAAACTCTTGACTAAAAATCCACGAAGAACGATATTTTCTACCACTTTTGAGGTGTGCCCACTGCCCACAGCTGTATGAAGTTGCTTGGATATATTCCACATAAAATTGCATGGAGGTCGCCATATTGTTTCAAACGTCATATTGATCTACGTATGTTACAGCTATTTTCATTGGACAACTATTAAAGAGCTTCAAGGGACTTAACTCAATTACGGCGATAGGTGGCGCAATCAAAGTTCCCGTTGGATAGGACTAAATCTGCCAAGGGTTGAAGAGTAGGTATCGGATCGGAAACCCTTGGCTAGCGAAGATGATTGGTTGTTACGATACTAGTATTCTCCTATTTTCAAAACGGGAGTATAACAACAGTCACGATTAAAATGAAGAAAACAACGGAGAATGAACATAACATAATGTTTATAATGAAATTCAGAACTAGCAGAATCAATTAATCTTTTTAACACTGAAGTACAAAAACACTTATTATTATTTAGTAAAAACTATGTAGATAAAATGATAAAGTATCATCAGTTTAAAACTTTACTTTGATCGGGATTCAAATACGGATTGGTATGTCATCAAATCTATTAAAATATGTTTAAGTATAATCGAATTATTAACATCCAAAACATTCCCTAACAAAAAAATACTATAGTTAACTATAGTTTACTATAGTTCACTGTAGTTATAACTTTGACACTTTCAAAAACTTTGACGAAAACTTTGACACTTTCAAAAACTTTGACGAAAACTTTGACACTGTGAAAAACTTTATCAAAAACTTTGATACTTTGAAAAACTTTATTGAAAACTTTGACACTTTGAAAAACTTTGGCGAAAACTTTGACACTTTGAAAAACTTTGATAAACTTTGGCGAAAACTTTGACACTTTGAAAAACTTTGGCGAAAACTTTGACATTTTGAAAAACTTTATTGAAAACTTGGATACTTCAAAAAACTTTATCGAAAACTTTGACACTTTGAAAAACTTTGGCGGAAACTTTGACATTTTGAAAAATTTTATAAAACTTGGATATTCCAAAAAACTTTATCGAAAACTTTGACACTTTGAAAAACTTTGACGAAAACTTTGACACTTACTTTGTATTTTCTGAGAACCAGTATATGAGTATCAAGTGTCAAGGGATTATAAACATGTAAGCAATATACAATTTTATCTTTTAAATGACATTACAGTGTACATGTATATTTTCATATTTGCAGCAATCGTTTAAATGAAAATATGGCATGCAGCTCAAAATCCGTGAAGTTCATGAAGGTCATATCACTTATTCTGGACACTGGAACAGTCGCCCTCTCATACCGATTGAAACATGAAGTGAAAAATGCTGGACTGAACTTCAGTCAGTTTTTAATCGCTAATAGGCACAAGTTATTTCATCTCTACGAAAGAAGAAATTGTTGTGAGTGCAGATCTGCTCAAAATAGAGGTAAAGTCTTTTCAAAATATCAATGGGAAACTCTTTTCAAAGTTAACCACAGTGTTAAGGTGTGCAATAGTAAAAATCCATGTGTTTGTCAATATGAACCACAGACCAGTGTTGGAGAAAATGAACTTGATTTATCAATTCTTTGTGCTATTTTACAAAACGCATGCTCGCTTCAACCCGCTGAAATGCAAGATGTTAAGAACTTACGAGAAAAAAGAAATACATTTCTTCATACAAAAGCTGCAAGCATTGAAGAAGACGTATATCTGAAAGAATTTTCTTCTATTCGCTCAACGATTGAGTCCATATCTTTTCACTGTGGGCAAGAGGTGTTCAATAAAGTAAAAGACGAAATTAAAAATATTTCCAAGAGTGAGCTTAATGACAACATGTGTCGACATGTGTTCTCACTACTTTTTCACATCAAGGAAACAACTGATGAAAAACTGGACAGTATTTTCCAGGAGATCCAAAAGATTAAACAATGCATAACAAGAGAGTTTCTGGACAACAAAACAACAGGACAACTCAAAAGCATTTCCAAAGACTTGGGACAAATCGAAACGCACACCAGTTCCCAAGGGGTATCAAGTGATGTATTTGAATTGCATTAAAGATTCTTAATATAATTTATATTCCGTGTATGGATAGAATAAGTGTTTTTCTATTTCTTGGTTTATTTTGGATAATCATGAAACGTGCCTTTCACTTTAATGAAAACATTCATAGACTTAATTATAAACAGTAGTACTTCCAAAATTTATTTGAGAACCTATTCTTGAAATGTATGTTTATATATTATTTTTTCCTTTTGTTTTTACTAGAATGTTTATGACTGTACCGAAAATCGTTCATCGATACCCACAGTGGATGTATTGGAATGTGGATCTACTGGGACATCTTTAGTCTCTAATGGTTTGTTAAAACATCTTTTGTAGTATGTAAAAAAAAAAATAGAAAAGCGAATCATTAATATCAAATTATTATTTTAATTTTAAGTTGCATGTGTAATTATATTAATTACCTACAGAGTATGGTAATAAGTCAAGAAAAAAAATCATTAAAAATAACAACTTCATAATATTATGTTTATACAAGTAAATAAAATAAATAAGTTTAGCCAAATAAATTCCTTCTTTGTAGCGGTAATGTGTATGTAGCGGTAATGAAAATTTTTAAAATGTAGCAGTTATGATACGCAATTTTTTTCTACTTCCATTTAAGAAACATTTTAAATTATTCAATTATTACGATAATTTACACGTCTGCATAATCAAGCAGACAAATGATGCTTTCTCGTGTTATCTCCTATCCCCTAACCACCAGAGGCTTACATGGCTAGATGGTTGTGTGCGTTCAAGAGAGAAGTGATCTCATGCCCTGATTTCACATCTTTGCATGTATTAAATTAACAAAGGCACTGTAAAAACACATCTGGAAAATGCGTATATGATAACAGAACACCATGGCCGATCAATTGGATATTTATTGGAAATCTGGCTTTTAATTTGTTTAACAAATTCGAATTTTTAAAAAGTGGAAATTAGTGAGAAACACAATAAATCCTTACAATCGAAATTAATCGACAACTTATTACTGAATTTCATTAGAATGCTAATCAATTACATGTATGTTAATCTAAAAAACTTTTGGTTACATAAATATCTGTATGTTAGGGGGGATATACTCAGAGCAAACAGGCAACTGTGTCGCAACCACTCGATCAGCGCGAAAAGTTATTGATGGCAAAGTCAATCGGGATCATTGTTGCAAGTACGGAACAACCATCTTATGTATAGAGAGTTGTATGCCCTTAAATTAGTTTCAATGGTATCTGTTTGCATGAGTACCACGGAAGAGGGCAAAAATGATCTTGACGTAGAAGGTTATCAAAGCAAATGTAATAGGAGCTTCGGCCAAAAAAATAGGCCTACGTGAGTCATTTGAGAGCCGTAGTCCAGTTCTCTAATGAACTTAGTCAAAACTATTTAATTTAAATACCTGTACATGTATATTGCAAATTGAATGGAATCTTTCTTCCAGTTTCGTTTCCCTTTTGTATTATTTATTTAGCATACCGGTATATACCTTCAATTACCACTCTAAGCAGCAGTAGAATTGCAATGTAAATATCCCAGTTTTTAGACTTAAAAATTATGACAAAAATCCTTTCAGATAAATGTGGAATGGAGTTCAAAAGAAAAAGAGCAGTCGATAACAGAAACGAGGACAAGAAACGTTCAAAATCACAGGAATGTACCCAAATGGAAAAATCAAACACGCTAGCGTCCGATCAGTTAGAAACAAAAGGCAAGTGTTTAAACAGCTTTTTATAAAGAAGTTTGTATGAAATGGAGTTTAGAATATTCCTTAATACTTACTGGAAACTTGAGTATGGACAGCTTGCAGACCTTCGATACAAACTTTTTATGTAATGAAACATTCTCTTTTTCAAATTATTTGCATGCAAAAAATTTCCATAAACTACTCGTATATATATATACGCAAATTGCGTTTATAATTTGTTTATAATTTTGCCTGTCAATGAGATATGGATTTCGATCTCTTTAAGAAATTTTAATATTAATTTTGATGTATTATCATTTAGAAAAATAAGACGGCTAATGTTATAGTTAACTGGGACATTTATGTACACCTCCCCCGCCCCCCCCCCCCCCCCCAAAAAAAAAGCACTTAAACTTTAGACATATTTATGAGCTAGGAACTTTTTTATTTGCTAAAAAACTTTCATATCTATTTTTAAAATTCATTAGGAAGTAAAAAGTTATATTTATTATTATAATGAAAATGGAATTAAAATCAGAATCTTTTTGCTATTCTCCTTGTCTAAGATGACAACCTTTAAAGACATTTAAAGACACATTTTTATAGAATAGTCTTTAAACTCCTTGCTTCACAGGTTTTAGCAACAATCTCAAGAGATATATTGTATTCACAGCTTTTTTTTTAAAAGACGTAATTGGATGAATGTAGCTTTAGATTTATTTTTACAATTTTAATGTAATAATTTCTTAGAGAAATTTTTAATTGTATTTATCGCTTTATAAAATTATGTATTATATATTATTAAATTATTTAAAAAATTTATGTGATAATTAAGATGTAGCATGTGCAATACGGAATTCAAAGTTTAAATGTTGAAAACTATTGTTTTACAGAATAAAATAACCTAATAACCTAGACTTTCAAAAATTCTTAACAGCAAGTTTCAGATCAACAAGACACAGAATTGTTGTAAAAACCATATAATTAAAAATCTAAAATTAGCAAATTATTAGAATTTAATCACATGAATATAAATGTATTTTCCTCCAAACTATCTTGTCTTACTCACTTGGTAGTAAAATGTTGTAGGAGATCAATACGATTCTGATTTTATTCATAAATAATTTTGTTCTGCATATTAAGATGAATAGAAAAAGCATGATCTACATGTATAATCAAAATTATTACACTAATTGAAAAGAAATCTATATTTTATATAAATCTATATTCATGTCCTTTTACATACTATTATACAAATGATTGGTAACCATGCCTTTTTACATTTTATAACCCAAAGGATATGTTAATATGCCTTCTTATATTCTATATCACAAACGATCTATTACCATGACCTATAACATACTATAACACAAACGATTTGCAATCATGTAATCTTAATTGTCCAAACGTTCATGATATGTTAAAAGGTGCTTACTATGACACAAACGATTTGTAACCATCTATAACATAAACGATCTCTAACTATGTCCTCTTAAATCCTATAACACAAACGATTTTTTACTACCCCCTTCCTTTCCCCAATGCCCTTATAACATTAGACAAACAACTAATATAATGGATATATTGGGTTGGGTGAACATTTACTAAATAGCGACTACGGATCTTCAGTATAGAGTGCATTATGCACTAAAAATATTGGTAAGTACTTCATACTGCTTTTTATATCTTCTCTAAGGGCTTTTTACCTTTGTTTTGAAATAAAGTTTCCAAAGCTTTGACATGCACATGTTATGCAAGGGTGGAAAGAGGATTTAAAGTGGGGTAAATAAAGCTGATAATGCAAATGGGTTTGGGGGACGCCTTAAGATTCTCCTAAGGGCGGTAAAGGAGGTAAGAAATGAAGTTTCCTGAGAGGACAGACACTCTTTACTATTTCTTGTCTCCATTTTTGATAAATTCTTATAAATAAAATTAAATTTCCATGATCAATCGAAACACCGATATTATGAGCTGTTGAGTAGACAACTGCGTTAGACTGATTGGAGACTTAAGGTCATACGCAACATAGTTTGAACTATCTTGTCTTTTTTCACAAAGTTGAAGAATTGCAATTCTTGAAGGAACTATGCATTATATTTTTATGTCTATATATGGTGTTGTACACTTCTTATGAAATAATTTTGGATATAAGAAACATCTAGAATATATGTTTGGTATTTTGTATAATTGTTTCTTTGAATTATCCAAGAGTTTTCCGTAATTGATATCTTTCAAATAACCCTGGTATTGCATGCTGATTTTTTGTCTATATCTGATGACACTATAATCTTAAATTAAGAATATCTTGAAAAATTATCAGTAGGTAAGGTATGTTGCGTATGTTCTTAAAATAATGCGATTTGATGTAATTTTTCGTCGAGAGGTACTTACATGACATTTACTAAAATAAAAAAAAAATACATGCAAAAAACATGATATTCATCTTTAATACTTCCATCATTACAAAATTCAAATTATTCTACAGCTTTTTTCCTGGTAACTGTCAGTTTTTACATTCAATCCCCAAGAAGGGTTCTCATTCTAGACATACATGTATTCTTCTTTAAATTGAAATATTGATTTAGCAAAATAACTTCACAACCTGAACCGCATATCATAGAATATGAAGTACATATCATATCATCGTGCCTTCTTTAAAGTTATAAAATTACTCGACTTGTGTTAAAAATCTTAATTGGTCCAAGAATTCCAAGCCCTTAAGAATTATTTCAATCTGAGGACAAAAACAAGCATTTTCGGTGGAACTTCCAAGCAATGTTTACTCAGGGAAGTTGCCTATTTTAAAAGGGGGGGGGGGGTCAGAGAAAAAATCGACTAGCCTGAAAACTTGAAAAGCAAAATAGTATCCAATTTCTTTCATTACTAACTATCCATAAATACTATAATGATCGTTGACTATACTACCAACAAAAATCGGGGAGGGGGGGGGCAACAGGGCAGTGTTTAATGAACATATTCAATTGTACAGGTTTGTTTGAAAAAAATGGCTATTCTTTCCCATGCAAGCCCAAAATGGCTGGTATTGGTTCCATCTCGAAAGGTTTATGGAATTCGTTCCCAGTAGTTCATTTGTCGGAGTAAAACTTATTATCAGCCTGTCAGAAATAAAATTACACGGCGTATAATTTTATCTTTTGTACATGTACATTTCTTTAAATCTATACAGTCATATACAAAAATATAAAATGATACAATTTTTTTTTTTTTGAAAAAACAAAATGTACAGTCATGTACAATTCTTTAAAATATTAAATGTACATATAAAAAAAATCTTTTAGTGGAATATAGAACTTCTTGAGTTGAGCTCACACCTCTTAAACAGAAAAGATAACTGCAAGATAACTGAGATTGATTAATGAATCTTTAATTTTCTATAGTGGCATAACTCTGCATAAAGTAAGATACCAAAGGAATTCCGAATGATCAAATTATGAAGAAATACCCGAGAATCAAAGGTCTGAAATGCAAATTATTAAAATACTGGTAATTAGGTCTAGAAGATGAAAAATGCAAGCAATTCTTTCAAACAAAACTAATGATTGCATATGCTAAACATAAAAGTATTGAATTTGTTGATTTGCTAATAAAGATTATTTTGCCACTATAGAAATAAAGGTTGCATCCCTGACGAAGGCGGGACCATGATTTTTTTAACACAACAATACGGTATAAAAGCGCCAAAACAAATTGCTGTCATAACAATACATTCGTATAGCTCCAGCTTTCAGTATCACATGTTTTTATAAGTAAAAAAAAGTATTTGGAGCCAGAATTAGATTTCTCGTTCGAGCTGAAGTTGAGCTGGAGCCAGAGCCAATGTTTATTACCCACTTGCCAGATTAATAATATTTTTTCAAGGGGTAAAAAATTCTGTGGTTCGTACAAACAGAACAACGTATACCATTAAGTAGTATTATGGTTTTGTTGTTGTTTTTTATTTGCAGTCAGCAAATAAAGTGAATACGTATAATTAATTAATTTTCAGTTTTTAATATTTAAACAATATTTTAGAAATGCAATTAACAATTAAACATTTACATGGAAATGTAGAATATGAAAACAAATGACTTTATGCGTAAAGTCCAGCTAGGGTATATGAAATTAATACTGAAAGGTGTAGCAACTTGCAATGTGCCCTACTTTCAGGATATTTAAGTGCTCTGCATTAAACTGAAAAGAGTAAATATTAGAGTTTGTTAGAGAGAATTTGTTTTCTGATAATCAGGAATCTTACTGGATCGCACAATTTTTACTGTAACGTACGCATTAAATTTGAAATGTTATTGTGTCGGGCCCGCCGCAGTAACACAGTGTTGTTTAAAATTGTTACAATTATTGGCCCATTCCCGGTATTAAGCAGAAAAAAAACTCATAGCTGAATTAAACTGACAATTTATGATCCACCAAAATTAAGAAATACAATGTACTCGGATCAATGTTTTCGTCCAGGAGGAGGTAAAAATTGACAAATAAAATATATGGAGATACAACGAGATGTAACGAACAGTATTCAAGCTCAAAAGTCCATTAAACACCTCTGAAACATTAGAGCTGGGATAAGGTTTAATAAGGTCTTGATACTAAGTATATATAACAAAAACCGTTTTAAAGTCAATAATGCGCAGATAGCCCCGAGCAAGAATTATAAAATGACTTTTAAATTGGTTCATGTTTTAGGATAAGTCAAGCATACTTTAAAAATCATCAACTTCATTGAACATAACGGGCAGGGTGTTTGATTCAGTCCTATAAAAATTGCAATTTGTCCATAATATTTAAATGCACAAATAAATATTTTAAAAAATGCTGAACGTATGATACAAAACAGTTGAACAAAACTTTGCTCTTTGAAGCTAAACAGTTTTAGAAAATAGGAAAATAGACATACAGCACCTTCAATTTTTCACTTTTGCTGATATTTAGAGATGAATTGGCCAAAAAATATATATTGATTTCTCAATCATACCTTTAATTTTTTTCTCATAGTAGATAAAGAAAACCACCAATCTGAGAGTACGGTAGAAGGACTCCATTTTACTCAAATGGCTACTGGATCAGGTCTTCATTCTTCCTGTCTAGGTGGAAAGACTGAGTCAGAATATCCTGATTTGAATTTAACCGTGGACGAAAATGGATGGAGGGCTGTACATTTTGCTGCACAAAAAGAAAATATTCACTTTTTAAAGGTTCTGGCAGAAGAAAGTATCCCTGTAACTGAGACCACAAAGGACAATGCAACAATACTGCATATTGCATGCGAAAATGCTCAATACGAGATGTGTCAACATATACTCTCACAGTATCCTGATATGCTCAAAGTCGTAGAAACAAAAGGATGGAATGCAGCACATTTTGCATCACAAGGAGGCGATGTTTGCATTTTACAGCTTTTGGAAGAAGAAGGTCTTTCTGTAACTGAAACTACAAAGGACAATTTGACAATACTGCATATTGCATGTTTATATACTCAAATCGAGATGTGTCAATATATACTATCACAGTATCCTTATTTGCTTAAAGCTCTGGATACAAAAGGTCGGAATGCAGCACATTTTGCAGCACAAGGAGGCGATGTTCGCATTTTACAGCTTTTGGCAGAAGCAGGTCTTCCTGCAACTGAAACCACAAAGGACAATTTGACGATACTGCAAACTGCATGCGGCAATGCTCAATACGAGATGTGTCAACATATTCTTTTACGGTATCCTGATATGCTCAAAGTCGTAGCAACAAAAGGATGGAATGCAGCACATTTTGCAGCCCAAGGAGGCGATATTCGCATTTTACAGCTTTTGGCAGAAGCGGGTCTTCCTGCAACTGAAACCACAAAGGACAATTTGACAATACTGCAAATTGCATGCGGCAATGCTCAATACGAGATGTGTCAACATATACTCTTACAGTATCCTGATATGCTCAAAGTCGTAGAACCAAAAGGAGGGAGTGTGGCATATTTTGCAGCACAAGGAGGCGATGTTCGCATTTTACAGCTTTTGGCAGAAGCAGGTCTTTCTGTATTTGAAACCAGAAAGGACAATTGGACAATACTGCATAGTGCTTGTTTAAATGCACAATACAAAATGTGTCAATATATACTCTCACAGTATCCTTATATGCTAGAAGTTGTTGACACAGATGGATGGAATGCAGCACATTATGCAGCAAAAGGAGGCGATGTTCGCATTTTACAGATCTTGGTAGAAGAAGGTCTTTCTTTAAATGAAACCACAAAGGACAATTTGACAATGCTGCATATTGCGTGTTTAACTACTCAGCACAAGATGTGTCAATATATACTCTCAAAGTACCCTAATATGCTAAAAGCTGTGGATATAAATGGATTCAATGCAGCACATCATGCAGCACAAGGAGGCGATGTTCGAATTTTACAGCTTTTGGCAGAAGCAGGTCTTACTGTAACTGAAACCACAAAGGACAATAGGACAATTCTGCATATTGCATGTTTAAATGCGCAATACAAGATTTGTCAGTATATACTCTCTCAATATCCTAATATGCTAAAAGCTGTCGATACATATGGATGGAATGCAGCACATTTTGCAGCAGAAGGGGGCGATGCTAATATTTTACAGCTTTTGTTAGAAGAAGGTCTTCCTGCAACTGAAACCACAAGGGACAATTTGACAATACTGCATATTGCATGCAGAAATGCTCAATACGAGATATGTCAACTTATACTCTCACAGTATCCTAATATGCTAAATGATGTGGATACAACAGGAAAAAAGGCTACACATTATGCTTCACAAGGAGGAGATGTTCGAATTTTACAACTTCTAACCAAAAAACAAGTACATCTCATTGCATCTAATGACAAATAAAAGATCATACTTGAAATAGTTTTAATGTTTATTATTCCACATCGTCATATATATAGTTATATGTTAAACATAGTGAATAAATATGGATGAAATACTGCCTTTTGAAATACACATTAAAGAAATACCTACTACTATGGCCGCCGCAATCGGAGGTGTTTTGACAACGCTCTTGCTCTTTTGGATTTTAACGCAGTGTAGAAGCGTTTTAGTGAAAGAAGAACTGGATGAAAATTTTTAATTTGTTCCAGGGTTCAGTTGGCCAGTTTTAACACCGAAAATAATGTTTTCTGGAAAGGAAGTTTTGAGTAGAACATTTAAGAAATTTTAATCATAAAATTCGATCGCAGTGGGAACAAATCAGCACTCTGCTTTACAGTGCTTATCGTTGTCAAATGATATACATTAAATCCCGTTCCAAATGGAAAATCTCTATGTATTGCCGGTGATTAAGAACAAATTTTAGATACAGAAATAGGATCTGGTACGATTGAATGGATTTGTGTTTCTTGTATTGATATCTATAGCGGAAATTCGATTTTAGATCAGAATGGTATTGACTATTTAACAAAATTGCCTAAAAGTGTCAAATTTGCGCCGGTAAACTTGTAATATTTCCGATTCTGAAATTCAAATACATGGATACAAAGTTATAAGAAGGGACCGAAATCGACGTGGGGGAGGGGTACGTATGTTTATAAAGGATAAATGGACTGTGGTGAACATATACACGGATGAAAACTTAAAGCTTATGACAGCATATTAAGCTTTTTATCTTTACAAATATCAGTGTAGAAGTTGTATACCGACCGTCTGATTCAAACGCGCAATGGATGGACGCTTTCAAGGAGCGGATTGAAGATTTATCAATCACCAGCACTGAACAAGTAATCATGGGTGATTTTAATATATATCAATTAAAAACTAAGTTTTAAATCCATGATGGAAGTCTGTGGTCTAATTCAAATTATTAACGAGCCTACCAGCGAGACGGTCGACAGCAGTACTTTGATTGATCATATATATGGTAATCATCATACTCTATACTTCCAGGGGAGTAATGCCAATCGGGCTGAGCGATCATCTCTTCGTGTACTAGGTTCGAAAGAAATTCAAAGGCGATCCACAACTAGACCAAGTTTACGTTAAATATAGATATCAAAAGAAACTTATTGAAAACGTTTTTATTAATGATTTACACGCCATTGATTGGAACTCGCTTAGATTATTATCTTACGTAGAAAGTATGTGGTCATCTTTTCACTCCATGTTCATGTTAGTTGTCGACAAGCATATGCCTATAAAAGAACAATGTATTCTAAGTGATTCGGAAAATGGATCAATGACGAAATTCTGTCTTAAAGACTCGTGATGAACCCGATTGGATACTATACAGGGCGGCGAGAAACAGGATAGTAACTACAATAAACGATACGAAACATATTATACAAGTAGACCCTGGTGTTGATATCGTAGATGATAATATCAAAAATGGCATATGCCTATTTACAAGTCGTGTGCAGCTTTACGTTCATTGCAAATTTGAGGACTCTTGTACCGAAGAAAGATATACACCAGTGTATTATCTGCTCGAACCCCTTCACAAACAGTTTTCAACATGCCATAACGTCGAGTTCTATAAAATCGTATGAAAGAACTGAATTTAAGAATTTAAGTTTGAGTTATCAATTAATTACAATGATGTTTACACAGATTTTATCATTTTAAATGAGTATGACTTTTACTTATCTATTCTAAGGGGTACCTGGTGACCAAGTTTTGGACAAAAAGAATTTTTTTTCTCACTTCTAGTTTCTTGTATAGCCACTTACCACGATAAGGTGTGTGAAATACACATATGATATTGTTCTTTTTATGTTTTTATAGTCGTATATATGCAAACTGCACATACCACAGCATCTTCGCTAGCCAAGGGTTTTCGATCCGATACCTACTCTACAACCATTGGCAGATTTGGCCGAAAATTTTAGAACTCGCGCAAACGAATTTGATTGGCTGCGAAGTCCGAGTCTACGCAAGGTTTTTACTAATCGACGATTTTCGGCTGAATTAAAGTCTGTTCGTGTTTTATGCAAAATAAAAGTAATATTTACAAGGGAAGAAAGTGACCTGCGACGGTGATGGTCATGCTATAGATCGGAGGGTAATTAGTCGAATTTTGGGTAGGTAAAACCGTTTTTTGTGCCCTAAAATCGTTGCACTGGTGTTTATAGTCATATTTGCTACCGAATTTGTGCATTTGTTGACCTTTTTGGTGAAAAAGTGACTTTTTCTCAAAATGAGTGACTCAAAGTATAAAGGTGAGAACTCCTCACAGGTACGAAATCCTGGTTTAACACCTTTACCCGCAGCGGTCAGTGGAGCATTAAGCCATATGTCCGTTATCGACACCAGCCTTCGGGCTATAACGGAAAAGATGGACTCTTTTAATACTCTGCAAGAGTCGTTGAATAATATGTAGAAGGATCTGTGGAATGAGGATGGACTAGATGACAGAATTAGATACATCGCTCAACAGCATGAAGACAACCAGTCTGAAATTGAAACCTTAAAACAGGAAAATATTACCCTCCGTAAGGAACTTCAGCTGTTGAAGTCAATTGTTGTAAATTTAGACAGGAAAGTGACACAACAAGAAAGTGAGATTGTAGACCTGAGAGGAAGATCTATGAGAGATAACATTCTAATCCATAATCTGGCAGAAGAGGAAAACGAAGATCTTAATGCAAAAGTTCACCAGATCATAAGTGATCATTTAAAACTGGATATCGGTTTTGTCAGAATCCATCGTAACGGACCTAGAATGCCAGGCAATAAACCCAGAACCATTACGGGAAAACTACGCGACTCTAACGATAAGGACCGGATTCTTGCAGCCCAAAGAGCTCTGCGGGAAAAGGAGAAAAAAGAGAACAAGGAGAAAAGTGCCTTACCTTGCTACATTACACCTCAAACACCAGTGCAAATTAACGAAAGTAGAAGGAGGCTTAAGGAGATCAATACACAGTACAGAATGAACAAAATAGAGACCAAGATAATTGGGAATAAAGTTGTGTTTCCCAACGGAAATGTGTATCGGGAAAAGGTTACCACGCCTAGAGCTGAAGATCTACTCTTTGTGGACGAGGCAGAAGAGGAAAAGTTAAACGAGATAGAGGCGGTGACAAGTGATCCTATCTATGAGGGTGGCAATGTCTTCAAAGCGGTGGCTACAAAAGCGAGTACGTATGCAGAGGTCAGACAGTTTTACAAAAAAGTTATGAGTGACCCGAACTCCGCCAACGCGCACCATTACGTCCTAGCATATCGGATACAAGATGCACAAGGGAACATCCGCGATGGATACTGCGATGATGGAGAATACGGCGCAGGTAGGAGAGTGGTCCGGCTTTTAGGAGATCAAAGTGCTACTAACGTCGCATTCGTTATTTCAAGGAAATCGGGAAATCATATCGGACCAAGGCGCTTCGATATCATATGTGATGCCGTGCTGAATGCTGCCAATAAACTCTGAACAGCTAAAGAAATGAATTATTTAACACCCATTTTTTCTGTAATCTTTGGATAATGTCTCTTTAAACTTAATAAGTACTATACATGTACACATTTTCTTTCTGTAGGTGTATGTGAAATCGCTTAGGTACATTTATATGCATCTTATAACAGTTTAACTCTTGTATCGGAAAACAATATACATGTATATTTAAGTTTTGATACTGCCTGTAACCATGCAATATATGTAGGTTCCTTTTTTTCTTGTCTTTTTTCGAAATTCAATTGTAATATACATATATTTCTATTTATTTAGTAGATAGGCCTATGGAAAATATCATATTCATCTTTTTGTTTAAAAAAGAAAGAGGAAAAAATGTTTTTAAATTTAGTTCCCCTATTCCTATTGTCTCCTAAAAGCTACAACGTCTTTTTTCTGTTTAAAAATCGTTAATATTTTTTGTTTATTTGTCTTTTTAACGGTTAAAAGGTTTATGCTTGTCGTATGTTTTTTGTGGGAGTGTATAGTTTATCCGGACACACTTTATTTTTATGTTGTAGTAATAATGTCCGGTTACGAGGGGCACAAAATTATTTTTAGTTGATAAACATCAGATAAGCCCGATTCGGCTAATTTTTCTCTTCGTTATGACCACATCAGAGGCTACGAAACCTGCTGTTTGTAAATATGTTTCATTTTTGTTTTACCCTATCAGTTTCCTTCTTTTCTTTCTTACTGCTTTCATTTTTCGGGGGTTGACAATACAAATTTACCACGCGTGTTATGGGGGACCAAGTTGACAATAACCAGTTAAAAATACTCACAGTAAACTGCCAGGGCCTGGGTGATAAAAACAAAAGAAGAGATGTCTTGAATTACCTCAAAGGTAAAAAGTACAATGTATATTTTCTTCAAGATACACACTTTACAAGTAGTGAAGAAAATTTTTTACAGTCACAATGGGGATACAAGGCCTTTTTTAGTTCATTTAAGTCAAATTCTCGCGGGGTTGCAATATTTTTCAATAACAATTGTGAGTTTGAAGTACATAAAACTAGTAAAGATGACACTGGAAATTTTTTGATTGTAGATGTGACTATTGAGGGTTTAAATTTTCTATTGGTAAATATTTATGGTCCAAATTTAGATACACCAATTTTTTATTCAAACCTTTTGAAAAAGATTGAAGAATTTTATTCCTCACAGTATATAATAATGGGTGGGGATTTTAATTTGATCTTAAATAAAGAGTTGGACTCTATGAATTATAAAAACATAAATAACCCAAATGCAAGAGAAGAAGTGTTAAATTTAAAAGATACTCTGAATCTGATAGATGTTTTTCGAGAAAATAATCCCAAACTTAGACAATTCACATGGAGACGGAAAAATCCAATTAAACAGGCAAGACTTGACTTCTTCCTCATGTCTGAATCTTTATTGCCCATGATACCTAATATAAAACATGAAAACAGTTATCGCTCTGACC